TTAACTCAAGATGCATCATAGACCTAAATTTAAAATGTCAACCTATAAAATTCTTAGAAAAAGAGAAGAAAAATCTTTGGGATCTAGGCCTAGACAGAGCATTCTTAGACTTGACATCAAAAGCATTGAAAAAAATTGATAATTGGATTTCATCAAAATTAAACACGTTTGCTCCGTGAAGGACGTTGGTCAGGGGTTGAAGACACAAGCTACAAGCGGAAAGAAAAGATTTGTAAACCACATATCTGACGAGGGACGGGTCTGCAGGCTGTGTAACAACGCCCAGAACGCAACCGTAAACAGCAACGGTGACAAAGGGCCCGGGAAATACGGGCAGACGTTCTGCCGGAGACGATTCACAGATGGCAAGTGAGCCAATGAAAAGACGCTCAGCACCATTAGCCGTGAGGGCCACGCAGTGAGAACCACGGGAGACGCCACCGCACGTCCCGCAGAGCAGCTCAGACTAAAACCAGGACAGGCCTGGCTGGGCGGCTCAGTTGGCTGAGCCTCGTCCCGTGCACGGAAAAGCCACCCCTCTCTCTCAAAAATAAAAAATAAAAAAGAACATATTGGAAAATAGATAAATAAATAAATATAAATAAATTTAAAAAAGAATGACACCACCCAACGCTGGTCCGGATGTGGAGACACTCGTGCACATAAAGGAACATGAGGTTAAACACACACCTGGGGTGACTCTCCAGGGGATTATTCTGAGTGAAAAAGCCAATCTCAGACATACCTACTGTGTGCGTCTATTCCATAATATCCCTGAAATGATCCAATTATAGAAAGGAAGAACTGATGAGTGGTGGCCAGAGGTCGGGAGGAAAGTGGGTGTGGCTGTGCAATGCACCTGGCCGGGCCACTGTGGCGGAAACGGTCGCCTCTGGCTGTCCCCGCTCGGGGACCCTGGTGCACGCTGCACGGGATTTGCAAGATGTCACCACTGGGGAAAGGGCATGGATCTCTCTGCATCGTTTCTTACAGCAGCGTGTGAACCTATAATTATCTTGAAGTTAAAAGTGTAATTTAAAAACCTAGAATAATAAATAAGAGGGGAAAAGCCACAAGAGCGTGGCAGGTGGGGGAGGGCTGTGAGGAGATGCAGGGCGTGGTCTCCTCCTCGCTGGGCTGGGCGTCAGCATGGGGAGCTGGACCCCGTCGTAGGTAAGCTCCCTGGCCCTAAGGACCAGACATTCACCTTCAAACGAACTTAAGCAAAAAGGGGGGTTTATAGGAAGTAATTGTAGAAGAACTCTGGTTGCCACGGACAGAAACCCAATTCCTTAAGGAAAAAAAAATCCAAAACAGGAATTTGGGTTCCCACCCCTGGAAAGCCCAGGGACACTGCTTAGCGCAGGGATCTGTCCCTCCTCCTTTCCTCAGAGTCAGCTGCCTTCTCAGGTTGCTGGGTGCCGGACAGTCCCCAGGAGCTCCTGCTCAAATCCCCGCGGGGGGGGGGGGGGTAGCTGAACCCATTCTTGGTACCTCAGCAGCAGTCCTGGGGGTCCAGGGCTGACAATAGTGCAGTGAGTGCCTGGGGTGGTGGTGGCGGGGCTGGGTGGAGGGGGTCAGTGGGGGAGAGAGGGGGCATCTGTAATATTTTCAACAATAAAGATATTTATTTTTAAAGTCCTATGGGTGAGTCTCAGCCTGACTTTGGTGTCACATGCCCATCCTGAGCCGATTACTGTGGCCGAAGGGAAGCGACACTCTCATTGGCCAGGCCTGGGTCATGTGCTCACTCCTAAAGGCTGCGGGTGAGGCCAGCCCCACACAACCCGCATGTCCCGAGAGGAGGGGAGGAGTGGTCCCCTAACAGAGTGGGTGAGGGTCAGGCTACACCAACACATGTATACCCATGGGGTCCCAGGGAAAAGCCTGCTTCTTCAGTCTCCATCCTCAGGCTCTTTTTTAATATGTTTTTATTGACTTCAGAGAGGAAGAGAGAAGGAGAGATAGAAACATCAATGATGAAAGAGGATCATTGATTGGCTGCCTCCTGCACGGCCTGCACTGGGGACCAAGCCCGAAACCCAGCATGTGCCCTGACCAGAATCAAACCATGACCTCCTGGTTCATAGGTCAATGCTCAACCACTGAGCCACAGGGGCCGGGCCATCCTCAGGTTCTGAATTTCCATCCCTCTAGTCCAGACATCCCAGATTGAACTAGAATCTTGAGGAAGGATTATCTGATTAAATAGCTTTGGTCCAGCCCTTATCCAATCATCTGTGATGGGGGTGGAGCCACCTGCTAGACCCTTGGTGGACGGGGCGGTTCTTAGAGGGGCCAGGCTGGCGCCCCACAGCTGTCAGTTACAGATCGTCAGAGCTCCTGGAAGATCTACACTAGCTCCTTTTCATGAAAGGACAGGGGAACCCTTCCATGGGTTTGGCAGGAAGGGACAGACGATGGTGTGGATCCGGGGAGAAAGGCCGAATCCTCGAATTGCTCCATGCTTTCCTCTGGGCGCTCTGGGGCTGGCAGAGAAGAGCAGTGGGCGTGGGAGGCGGCCGCACTCACTCTGAGGAATGAGTGGGTGATGGGAGGCCCTGTGGGTTGGCAGCAGGAGAGGCTGGAGGCTCAGGGACAGAGCAGGGTTGGCAGCAACAAGACAGAGCCCGCGATTTGGAGGAAACCAGTCATCAAGGCAGAGACTGGGGACAGTGACCGGAAACCAGAGCAGGTGTGCCTACGCAAGGCCGGAACCCCCGGTTACAAATGTCACTGCGCGGTCTGGTCAGAGGACTCAGGCGGGAGGCATTTCTAGGCACTGGGTCGGAGAAGACGGCAGCTGGCCCCACACCTCCCTCCCTTCTTCCCAGATGTGGGGGTGGGGGGCAGATCCTCCAGCTCTGGCTGCTCAGCACACACCCCGGGTGGGCACAGCCGAGTCCCCAGTTTGCAGGGGGACGCGTGGAGCTCGAGGTCATTATAATTTAATCTCGGAGGGAGAGCTGGGAGTCAGACAGAAGCGGGCAGTAAAAATGGTGCTAATCGCGATGGTGGTAATGATGGCCAGCCTTTCTGGAACGCGGACTGCGTGCCAGCTCTGTTCTGAGAGGCCCCACCGGACCATCTGCTTTCATCTTTGCAACCTCGCTGTGAGGTTCGGCTATTGTGATGCCCATTAAAACGGATGCGAGGACTATGGGGCCGAGAGGTAAGCATCTTGCCCAAGGTCACACAGGAACCAAGGTCATTCAGCTCTCCCAGGGGCCGGCTGTCAGGGTTTCTGCTCCCATCTATTCTCATCATCCACGTCAGCTAATCTCCTCGCATTCCCTTGCTCCAGCATCCCAACCCCCTCCACAAACCCTTCCTCGTCATGAGCGAGCGAACGTTGCTGTCTGAGTCTGTGGTAACCCTCCCTGTGTCGGCCCCTGGATGTTGCCTCTGAGGAGTGAGCTCGGCCAGGTCTGCGTCACCAGGTGCAGATAATGCTGCTCCCACCCCAGCCCTCAGGGGGCAGGACCACGTCTTGTTCTTCTCCAGGAGGCACCTGCTTAGGTCTGGCCCCGAAGAGGCAGCGAGCAGGGGAGCAGTGCCTGGGGCTGGGGGTTCACGGCACCTCTCTCCTGTCTCCCGCAGCCTGGCGTGGGGCTCCTTCACCTGCTGCATGGCCGCCTCCGTGACCACGCTCAACTCCTACACCAAGACGGTCATCGAGTTCCGCCACAAGCGCAAGGTGTTTGAGCAGGGCTACCGGGAGGAGCCGACCTTCATAGAGCCCGAGGCCATCAAGTACTTCCGAGAGAGGTCAGTGCTCGCGGGGCACCTCTGGCCGGGGTCTGGCCTCGTGGACACAGGGCTCCAGGCAGAGCTGGACTGAGCGGTCGGCCGGAAGTGCTGGGGGCGGGTGGACGGGCTGGTTGGGTGAGGCGCAGTGTGGACTCCACTATGTCAGAACATCTGGGACGTCTTCATGTTTATGGGCCAGGTGACTGCCTTGAGCTTAGGCGATCATAGCCTGAGCGAGCAGGAAGGGGATCAAGTTGGAGCATTTGCCTTTGGCTCCAGGCTTCGTAGAACCAAGGTGGGGGCACACAGAGGCCAAACCAAGGTCTCCATCCTGGACTCGGTCACAGTCCTGGGTGAGAAGAGGACCCAGCAGTGGGGTTGGTGACGGCTGCTGGCGGAGGGCTTCTCGAGGCCAGAACCAAACCTGATCACCTGAGTCCTCGGTGTCCCTCTGGGAGTAGGGGAGGTGACAATAAATGATGGGTGGATAGTTGAATGGTTGGTCGGATGGATGTACGGATGCATGTACGCATGGGTGGATGATGGATGGATAGATGCATGGATGATGGATGGATGGATGCATGCGTTGATGAATGATTGGATGGATGGTTGGATGGATGGATGCATGCGTGGGTGGATGATGGACGGGTGGACGGTTAGCGTATTTCCTGGGACCACCTCCTAAAAGGTATTTTACCCAAATTCTTATCACGGAGCCGGTTTCTGGGGAGTGATTGGACATGCACACACTGATGCTTTTTGGTTGCAGGGAAGTGAACGGTCCCCAGGACTGAGTCTGAGGAGGAAAAGGGGGACGAAGGCTGAGGGGCTGGGCGGTGTTGAGGAGGTGGACTCTCTGCGGGGCCATGGAAGGGTTTCAATCCAAGGATCACGTGGTGGGGCCACACAGGGACCTCTCTCTGCCTCTTACAGATGCCATTGTCTCTGCCACATGGGCCTCCTTTCTGTTCCTTGAGCACAGCAAGCTCAACCCTACCTCAGGGCCTTTGCACCTGCTGTGTCCCTGCCTGGAATTCTCACCTGGCTGGCTCACTCAGGCCTCTGCGCAGTGAGGGCTTTCTTCATCAGTTGGTCTAAATTTGCACGCCCCCAAACACCCTGCCTTCGTCACTCGTCAGCCCATTGCTATGTTTTGGCAGCACCAATATAATCTAACGTTATTCTATTTGTGATCTGTTTGATAGTTTGTAGGCTGAGCTCCATGAGACAGGGCTTTGCTGTTTTGTCACTGTATTTTGAGCACCTAGAACTGGGCCAGGTACCTAAGAGGCGCTCATCAAATTGTGTGTGTGTGATCGACGGAATTCTTCTCTTTGTGGACCTCAGCCCTGACTGCCTCATGCCCTTTCAGCTCAAGCCCCTCCATCGTTGAGCCGATTTGGCACCCAGCATCCACCCCCACCCCACCAAAGGGCCCGGTCAGGTTTTCAGATCCAGGCCGGTCAGCTGTGGCAGGGAGGTCAGGCTGACCGGGCACATGGGCCTGCCTCGCCCACAGCTGTGGCCAAAGCATGTCCATTAGGAAGAGGGTCATGGATGGCAGAGACGGGACCCAGGGTAGGCGCTCGGGAAACGTCTTTAGAAGCCACACGAGCAGCCGATGTCTAACCCGCCCCATCAGCACGGCAGCAGCTGTCCCCTCGGCTGTGGGGCGCCTGGGACGTCCGTGGGCAGCCTTGTTTTGCTGATGCCGAAAGCAGGACCAGTTAGTACCAAGCAGCTCCGTGTGCTGGTGCCCCAGTTCGAATGGCCCCAGCGACGCGGGAGACGGCTGCTTCCAGCGTGTGTGCAGAATACCACTTCACTCGTTCACAGCTCGAACGTTATGCAGAGGTTCATCAGACTTTACCTCCCTCCTTCTCTGGGGGGAGCATTTCAGCTTAGCTGGGCTGTTCTAATTTTCTCTTTTTGTGTGTGTGTGTGTGCCTTCCCTGCCAAGAGCTCAGAGCACACGGGCAGACCTCTGCACACGTTTGCAGGTGGCCCAGAAGCGGGGCTGGAACCCTGCGTGGCCAGCACCCCCCAACCTGCAGCAGGGACACAGGGGAGACAGCCACGCTCCCACCTGCCCACATTTTCTCCTTGGGGGACGGGGTGCGTAGAAGCTGGGGGGGTGGAGGCCCCTGACCTTAGTCTCTCATTTCCGTTGCTTTCCTGCTGTGTGACTGGGGGCTGCTTCCTCTGACCCACAGCGAGAACTCTTGGCATCCTGGGAAGGCTCCACCCTGACAAGCCAGGGAATGTGCTGGGCACAGTGCCGGGCACACGGAGAGGGTTCTGTGCGTGTCAGTTCCTGTCCCTGCTGCTACTGATGCAAAGTACAAAGCCTGGGAACGGTTACCTCAGGACGAGAGGGAGATGGCGTTTTAGATATTAGGACTTTAATAAATGATATCCATAAGCACAGCTGACACGTACGTGGTGCTTGCCCTGTGCCAGCACCTTCTAATGCCTTAGATGTTCACTCCGCAACACCTCTGGGAGGTAGTGGGTATCACTGTGTCCCCATTTTATAGATGCAAAGTCAAGGCACAGAGAGGTGTAGTGACCTGCCCAGGGTCACACAGCTGGTAAGTGCCAGAGCTTGGATTTGAACCAGGTCACAGGGATGTGTGGCTGCTCGGGATGGATCAGCATCTCCTCCCAGCATTGAGGGGAGTCCGCTGAGGCTCACAGCGTGAGGGCAGGCAAGGGGCAAGGCAGCCATGAGTGCGGAGGGCACGGGAGGATACAGGCCTGGGAGGGGGTGTGAGGTCTCCCAGCTGCCCCCCTGGTCCTGTCAGAGGAGAGGCAGGCGTGGCCCCACTTCCCCCAGGCCTCTCCAGCGTCCTGCCCAGACGCTGCTGCCCCACCAGGGTCTGTTGGGGGTTCTGTGCCGGAGTGGCCTGGTGGGGTCTGAGGAGCAGCTGGGCAGATCCCGAGAGGTGTTCTGGGCTCTGGAGCGCAGTGGAGTGTGGAAGACAGTGCGTGTGTGTGTGCACGTGTGTGTGCACGTGTGTGTGCCGAGGGCCGGTGTGCACACATGGGGTTGGGGTGCACTCTGGCCCCGTGACTGAGCAGCTTCACTTACTAGAAGAAACATCTGGAATTTAACGGTCCCAGGGTCACCCTATGTGCTGTCCCCAAGGAGGGCCTCCTAGGAAGATGCCAAGTGAAAGGTAAATATTTGCAGATCGGGGCTTTCTTGAAGGCTTGAAGCTCGGTCTGGATTAACGCTGTGTGGGAGAACATGAGACTACGGGATGGGCTCTGAGGGGTTCAGCCAGGACACACCTCCCGCCTCCCCTGGGAAAGCCGCAGGCAGGAGGCGGGGAGCCACAGGCCGAGAGGGCAGCTCGGTCACTGCGCCTGCTCCGCGCATGCACCCCTGTGGGCTGCCTTGCTAATCCATCTTCGTCCTTGTTTGTGTCTGCCTCTTCCCGGGTGCAAACCTGAGGGCTTGTCCTGCTTGGTTTCCATTCTGTGCACCTAGAACCACAGGGGCTCAGTCAGTTACTCGCTCTCCATAACAATGACATCATTAATGATGCACAAAGCTGTACGGTGCCCCTGCTGCCGGCGCCTCACCTATGTGCGCTCAGTCCTGTGGGGACAGGAGCAAATAGACCAGGGCTGGGACTAACTGCCGTTTACCGGTTGTGAGCACCCAGGAGTCACTTCACCTTCTGGGCCTCAGTTTTCCTGGCTGGAAAATGGGCCGTTTTTTTTTCTCAAAGCTTTGTCCTAAGGATTACATGAGATGATGCAATTAAGCTTCTGGCACAAAGCTGGTGTCCCCTGCTCCTGACCCCCACCCCCTCCAGAAACACCCCTGTGCAGGGGAGACACGCCCTGCCTACCTGAGAAAGGGGTGCAGTGCACGCTGCACGTGGAGGCGCTGGGGGAATCTTGCCTGAAGATGGGCTTTGTTTGGACCCCATGGTGGTTTTGAAATTCTTAAATTTTGCCTGAGTTTTTAAAATCAGATTTCATGTTCTAAAATGTTAAGGTGTTGGGCTTGTGATAAGAAAGCAGAGGGTCTGGCCACACTGGGTCCCAGTTCCTGCACAATGGGCTGCAGCGGGGAGCACCCGCCCCTCGGAGCACTACGGGGCTAGGAGTTTGGCCCCCTGGTTGGGGTGCCCGCTGGCTCCCTGGCTCTGGAGTGGCCAGTGCAGTGGAGTGCCATGTGCCCTGATGCGTCTGCGGGCAGGTGACTCCGGTCAGGGGGGACTGAAGCCCACGGGGAGGTAGAGTAGAAAAGCCTCCTCAGAGGAGACCCTGAGCCTCACCAGCCAGGTGGGCAGTGGGTGGAGAGGGCAGTGTCAGGCATAGGCCGCAGCCCAGCCGGGAGGGGAGCGAAGGAGGGTGCTGAGGAAAAGCTGGCAGATGGCGTCACGGGAAAGCCGAGGGTGGGAGTGGGACCTGCGTCTCATCTCTCGCGTCCTCCCGCAGCATCTGGGGTGGAGCTGGCCGGCTGGGATGAGAAGGTGGAGTAGGAACCTGCCCAAAGCCCTCCTCTTGGGCGCCACCCTCCCCGGGCGGAGGCTGGTGCAGAAGTGGGTGCAGGGGCCCCGCCCCAGCAGCTCTGCTCTCCTGTCTGCTGTGGGGAGACTTCAGAAGGGCTCGTCTCCCCCTCCTTCCAGGCCACTCACAGCAGGGCCTGTGCCTCTGCCCTCCTGCCACTCCCCGGAAAGAGCTCCCAGCAGCCCCGACTTCCCACGCCCCTCCCTGCGCCTCTCCCCAGCTGCCCCTCCTCCGCTCCCTCACAATGCGAGGCCCCAGGGCCAGAGCTGGGCCTCTTCCCTCCTCACTTGGCATGAGCCTCAGCGGCCACTCCTGTGCCAGGGCTCCCACCCTCCCCTCCGGACCCGCTCCATGTCCAGCTGCCTCCTTGGCGTTTCCACTTTGGATTCTCAAAGGCAGCGGACGGCAACGTGACCAGCACCCACTCAGCCGGTGTCCCCATCCCAGTCCTACTGCAGCGTCTCCCCACGGTGCCCTGCTGTGCCAGCCCGGCATCTGCAAGTGCTGGCACCGTGTCCAGCTCACCCCAATCCAAGGCACTTCCCTGCAGCTAGCCCACGCCCGTCCCCGCACCGAGCTCCCATGTAATTAATCCCTCACCCACCGTACCCCTGGCTGTCCTCCCCACAGCAGAATGACCAGGTACCTGTACCCCCATCTTCCTGCTTAAAACAGTGCGGTGACCGCCCACAGCTCCGGACAGAGGTCCAGCTCCTCACTGACCTTCAGGCACTGCCCCTGCCCGGCCCCCCGATTGCCCCTTCCCTGCTGTTCACAGCACCCTCCAGACCTCGCAGTTCCCCACACCGGCCACTCTCCTGCCTCCACGGTGCTTCTGGACTGCCCCCTCTCTGCCTGGAGCACCCCCATTGCCCCCCTCTCTGCCTGGAGCACCCCCACTGCCCTCCTTTCTGCCTGGAGCACCCCCATTGCCCCCCTCTCTGCCTGGAGCACCCCCATTGCCCCCCTCTCTGCCTGGAGCACCCCCATTGCCCCCCTTTCTGCCGGGACCACCCACATTGCCCCCCTCTCTGCCTGGAGAACCCCCATTGCCCCCCTTTCTGCCTGCAGCACCCCTATTGACCCCCTCTGTGGTTACCCAACTGCATTGCCCCGTCTAATGCTTATTTCTTTTTTTTTTCTATCTTATTACCTATTGTGTATACGACATATGTAATAATTTCTCTTAATCAATCCAACGCCCACACTAATAGGCAACCGTGCAAATTTGGAATCTACACCCGTGTCATATAGTGAAATTTAATTCGTAGATATAAAAATGCACATGTGAGTAAACAGCAATAGGT